TTTATTACATCAGATGATACATTCTGCTGTTTATATACAATGTTATGTTATCACATTGTTATACTTCTTGTTCTCTGTAAATAAAGTTGTAAATGTTTATTTAAATCCTGCCAACGAGACCTTTTCTTTCTGTTATTTCTGCACATATATTGTAAAGAGTTCCCATTCTTTTTCAAAGTCACTATTGTCCTTTTCACGCAGTTTGTCCGTTAACTTTGCTAACTTTTCTAGCCATTGTGCTTTTGATGGTACTTCTCCTGTCTTCCAATTTTGAGCTATTAAAATTCTTACCGCTGTAGTAGCATACATGAATAATGTCTTTTTTTCTTTCGACAACACTTGTCCTAAATTACCTAACGATAAAAGCTTCTGGTTTTTTAACCAATATTATTTTAACCATTTTTTAAAATTTATTGTATATCATTTCCCAAAATTTTGTAATAATCTTACAATCCCACCACATATGATAAAATGTACCTTCCCCTTCTTTACACCTCCAACAAGTCTTTTGTTCTGTTCTATACATTTTTGCCAATTTTACCGGTGTAATGTACCACCTATACATCAGGAACAAGCTCTTTCGCAAGGCTGCTGCTTGGCATTGGCTAGCCTGGAGCGTCAATCAGTCAGATTTGGAGGGAAGGGCGGGTTCAACTGCCTAAGCAACAAGCAGTTTGGGTGAGCGCACAAATGCCATTTTTTATTTTTATGACTCCAAAAATGGGACTGTCCTGTATTTTAAGGGATAGGTGGTACCCCCACGGCCCTGCCCCATTATTGCCTTTAAAGGCCCTTCCCTCCAATGCACACACAAACCCCGCCTTCCCAAATGGCCCTTGTCTGGGCCCACAAGCACAGTGGGGTGGAATCCTTGGGGAGCCATCTGAGTTGCTTCTCCACGCTGCCTCCTCTTTCCTCTGTGGTCATTTGCATGCAAACAGGCTTGTCATGTGCCATCTTGATTCTTCACCAAGAATGGAGAATGAGAACTTTGATATCTTGTCCATGGAGAACGGGGGCTCCGCCAGGCCTTCTCCACTGCCGCAGCACTCGCACTCACAACTCCCTGGCTGGGGCAGTGACAGAGGGCCCTACCCTAAGCATAGCTGGAGAGGACATGGTGGGGGGACAGGCCAGGAGACTTCAGGAGAAATAACCACATCAAATTCTCAGCAGCAGGAGGCTGTTCAGCTTTAAGAGATAAACCAAATTTGCCGGAGCCCACATTTATGATGACCCTGTTTTGATAGTGCCAGAACAAAAGGATTCATTGATAAGGCCCCCATGTCCTCACAGAGCAGCTTCCCCCCACCAGTTAGGCCACCCATGCAAGATTTTAGGTCATCCCCCGTGGGGGGCCCCCTCCACCTCATTTTAGATATTAACTGCTGAACCTGAAATATTTGCTGTGGTGCACTTGCTGTATATAAATATATATTCGTGAATTTGTTGAGGATATTGGTCAGTTGATCCCAGGATGGGTTGCAACATCATTTAAAACCATTTAAAACAAAAGTTTTAAAAAATAAAATGAAGAATTCCAGCACAACAATTTGCAGCAGTTGGTCAAAAGCCCAAAAATGCCCAGGTGAAAAAGGCAGGTTTTAACCTTGTGCTGAAATGTCAGCAACATTGGTGCCAGTGGTAATTCCAAGAGGAGGGCAATCCATAATTAGGGCGCCACCACAGAGAAGGCCTTACTCCCGTCCCCACCCAGTGAACTTCCCCCTGGAGGGGGGCGCAACAAGAATGAACACCTCACCCAGAGCTGAGGACTCAGGCTGCTGGGTTCCTTCAGGCAAGTGAGCCCCAAAGCCATTTAGGGTTGTTTAAGTCAGCACCTTGAATTCAGTCTGGAAACAAACAGGCAGCCAATGAGAAGTCTTCAGGGTTGGTGCTCCGCGTTCCCTGAGGGGGGCCCCAGCCAGCATTCGTGCCAGAGCAGCCCCTACTAACTGCGACTTCCAGGTTGTCTGCCAGGGCATCTCTGCGCAGAGCACAGGAGGGTCATCCAATGGGAGTTTACGGGAGCAGGACTCACTGCAGACAGGCTCTTTCTGTCCCAGCAAAACAAGGTGAGCAAAGGCCCTCTGGCCCCCCCCCCAAGCCTCCAGGGACTCGGGTGGCTCAAGGAGCACCCTCAGACTCTGCCCCTGGGCTTTCATGGGGAGGGCAACCCCATTCAGAACATGCCAGCTAGCCAACAGCTAGAGGGGGATGACTCTGTCTAGTTCTTCTCTCCTTTGGTTCTTCTGTTTCTCCATTTTACTGCGTTAAGCTCAGTTTTCTATCTTTCCACACTTGTACCATTTAAAAAATGCCTCATGAAAATTCACCAGCATTTTAGTGTGAATTTCTCCTAATATAGACATTTCCTGTGTGCAATTTTGCCCAATATGCATATTTTTGCAAATCAGTTTTCCATAATACAATGCAATTTATGTTTTATGCATGTTATGCACATTTTACCCTACTGTTTTTATTTTGGGGTACATTACTTGCCTGGAAAACTGTTTTGCAAATTCGGAGGAACTTTTGAATCATGAAGAATAGTTCTGTGTTTTGGAAAATGAAAGTTAGGGAGGTTGACCTTTGTAGGTGAACAGAATTGAATTATTTCCCCAAGTCAACGTGCTGCTTTGGATTTACCAGGATCCAGACTCAGTTTATTGGTCCACATCCAGTCCATTATTACCTCCAAGGACTTGCTGCTGCTACTACACATCAGTGGCTTCTGGAACCCTTTGCCACGGGAGGGAGTAATAGCCACCACCAGTGAATTAGAGAAATGTATTTTTTGCAGAAAGGGATGTGGGAGGTGCTGTGGTCTAAACCACTGAGCCTCTTGGACTTGCTGATCAGAAGGTCGGTGGTTCGAATCCCCGTGACGGGGTGAGCTCCCGTTGCTCGGTCCCAGCTCCTGTCAACCTAGCAGTTCGAAAGCACACCAAAAACGCAAGTAGATAAATAGGTGCCGCTCCAGCGGGAAGGTGAACAGTGTTTCCGTGCGCTGCTCTGGTTCGCCAGAAGCAGCTCAGTCATGCTGGCCACATGACCCGGAAAAACTGTCTGCAGACAAACACCGGCTTCCTCGACCTGTAAGGCAAGATGAGTGCCACAACCTCAGAGTCATCTGTGACTGGACTTAACTGTCAGAGGTCCTTTACCTTTTTACCTTTTATCCTTTGCAGATGCACATTTGTGGCCGTAAAAGCTGGATTGAAAACAAGCTGGCTTTCTAGGGGTGCCACTTTCTCTGGTGGAGACCCACGCTCTGCTCAGCTGGCAGAACTGCCAGCTGCTGAATGCATCAATGGGATTCAGAAGGAAGCAATAGTCCCACTCTATTCTGCCTTGGCCAGACAACACCTGGAATACTGTGTCCAATTCTGGGCACCATAATTTAAGAAGGATGTTGACAAGCTGGAAGGTGTGCAGAGGAGGACAACCAAGATGATCAAGGGGCTGGAAACTAAGCCTTACAAGGAGCTCTTGAAGGAGCTGGTTATGTTTAGTCTGGAAAAGAGGAGATATGAGGTGATATATGGCCATCTCCATCAATTTTATTAATAGGACAACTCTGACCAACATTGAATTTAACCAGAATTCTGTCAGCTGAATTCTGTGCTAGTTGAGGTTTCTGAGCTGTCTTCAAGGACAGTTCCATGAATTACACACCACGGTAATCCAGCCTGGGCCCTACCAGAGCCTGAGATTACCCCCCTCATTGCCTGTTGGTGCTCTGTACTCATTCCCTTTCACGTTTGCTCCAAGACGCTTCTCTTCCTCCCCCCTTGGAACTGCAAATGCTCAGTCACTGATCTGCAGCTGGTCAGGAAGCCCGGTCTCTCCCCTTTGTTTAAAACTTGCGAGGGGGAATGAGGAGGCGCCCTCCTCCCATTCTCCACAGATCATTGGCACAACGCAGAGCGCAACAGCTTTGGTGCCGCTGGCGCCGGGCTGTCAATGTGTACTGAGGGAGCCCTTAATCCATGGGTCGCTGCCGTGATAAACAAGAATGTCTCTTTTGGAGCTGTTATAACTTATCATGTTAATGTGCGGTTTGGGAGCCTTTAATTGGTGATTTGTGCATGGACTGTCACAAAATTTTAAAACACATTTGCCATCATTTCTGGGGCGCTTGAGCAGCAACTGGCTCACGACATCAACAGGGAGCAGCAAACACAATCACACCTCCAGTTTCCGGAGTCTTTGACTCCGGCAGGCATCTGCTCCCAGCCCTCTCTCTGTCTCTCCATATTCCCATTCTGACAGGATTTAGACCTCCCCCTGCTCTGCAGCCCAGAGATGGGACAGTGGCAGCCACACGTGTGAGAATCAGGCCACTCTTTTATCCCAGTGACACTGGATGGAGAGGCAATTTAAAATACAGGCTTTTACACGTGTTCAAGGTGCACTTGTATGGTGTCAAGCCTGGAAGTAGTGCGGAAGGGACAGAAACACCTAAAAGAAGCCGAAAAATCATGCGAAAACAGCTTTTAAGTGGAATCCCGGTCAGAGCCGTCTTTCCCATAGAGCTTACGGGTGTGTTGCGCCAGGGCGCCGGCCTCTCAGGAGTGCCCCGATGAGTGGGGGAGCTGCGTGGCTTTGCCGGCGGCCTCCCCTTTCCTTGCACGCCCGCCAGCTGCACGCCCACCAACCATAAGGCTGGCGGGCGTGCAGCTTCCCTCCAAAGCTTCTGGGGGGATCGCTCTCCTCCCGAGGAGGTTTGGGAGGGAAGCTGCGCTCCCCTCCCATAGAGGCTTGGGAGGGGCGCAACTTCACTCCCAAGCCTCTGCAAGGATCGCTGTCCTGCAGTGGCATGGGGGAGAGTTGTGCCCCCCCCCGGATGGCTGGCAGTGCGCAGCTATGGCCACCCCAACACTATCTGTGGTAATTTGGGGGGGTGCTGGGCGGATAGTTGCACCCCGGCGCCACATCTGCTAAAGACGGCCCTGATCCCGGGAGCCCTTGCACCAACCTTTGAAGCCTGTGGAGAGTTGGAGTTTGAGGGAGGGAGGAAGCAATTGTGGTAGAATTTGGCAGATTATTGGCGGAGTTTGGAGGAGTTTCTGGAGGAGTTTTTTGAGATTTTTTTTTTTAGTTGTTTGGAGAGGTTTTTTTGAAGAGGTGTTTTGTTGTTGTTGTTGTTGTTTTGAGATGACACCTGAACACACGCATCGTCGTCTTCCTCAGGTGATGACAAACCCAAAAGGCAGCGAGTGGTGGCCCAGACTGGAGGAGAAGTTGGAAGTACTGGACTGTTTACAGGATGGCATGAGCATTTGTGCTGTGGCACACAAGTTTGGCAGGAATGAATCCAGCATAGGTGCCACTAAGATATGGGAGAGATAAATCTGGGCATCAGTGGCAGCGAGTACACCTACAACTGCCAAGGTCCCCAGGTACGTGCGAGACGAGGCCATGGGGGAAGGCACATGAGGCCCTGAACCTGTGGTTAGAGGACATGACTCTCCAGCGTATCCCCATTGATGGCAGCACCTTGCGCAAGCACGCAAGCATGCACGTATGCACGCTTCAAGCAGCCTGCAAAGTTCTGAGCCAGCTTCAAATGATGTGTCAATCTGAAGAACATTGGCAACCATGTTGAAGCTGCATCCGTGGAGCAGGAGGCTGCCCAAGCATGCCCTGACCAGCTGAGGAGACACCAAGTGTGCCCTGACCAGCGGAAAAGACAAAAGCGCCAGCTGCACATCGCCATGTTTCTCAGTGAGACACCACCAGCCCCACCAAGTGCATCTGACCCACAGCCAAGCACTTTGGGGTACCGGTCTACCCTGCTTGTCATTGTTTGCAGAATGTCCTCCAATGATGAGGAAGACTGAGAGCCACCATTGTCCTTGTGTGATGGCTTCCCCGCCGAATTGTGAAGGTTCCATGACATCACAGCAGATCAGCCGATCAGGTACATGTCAAGTCCTGCTAGAAGCAAGGAAGGAAGGATGTCAGCATGTGAGGAAAATAGGGGTGAGTTCAAACAGCCTTCCCCAACTTGGTGCCCACTGCCTGCTTAGAGCTGTCTGCCATGGTGTCTGGGGCTGATGAGCGTTGCAGTCCAAAACTGCCAGAGGGCTCCAGGTTGAGAAAGGCTGAGTTGGAAGGAGGTGTTATTGCTGCAATAGTTCCCAAGGATTCTGCATATTTCCTTTTTAAAATTCTGGAACTATTCATTATTAGACTAATGAAGGGAAGGAGAGAACGAATAGAAAAGAATGGAAGGCGAGCTGAGTGCTGCCAGGGGTTCGGGGCGGGGGGAAGAAGAGCACAGAGTCCTTCTTCTCCCCCCAGGTTCCTTGTGCTGGTTTCCATCGAAAGCATTAATTAAGAGCACCTGCCCTTGTAGTCAAGTTCTTCTTCATTAGGAATAGAGCGTGTGTCAATGCGTAATTAAAATTATGCATATTTTTTTAAAAATAGCTCTTTTGAAAAAAACCCTAGTCATCCATACCTATTAATTTAATCAGCCAATTGAGCTCAGGTGAATTCATCGCTCCTCTCTGTCCCCCCTCCCTCCCTCCCTTAATGCTAACAGGAGTGAATTGAGCAGGAGGATTTTAACTGATTAAGTTTCCATAGCAATGCAGCTCATCTCTCTCCTTATCACGTTTCAAGCTCCTCAACCCTGTTAGCCACGGAAACTGAATTCACACAACCAACCTCCAGGTTCCTTCTTCCTTGCAATTTTTCTTCTGCAGAGGAAGTCGTGCCCCATTTTCAGGCAACAGTGAGCCCTGCTCCTGAATTCTATCCCTTGAAAATCATTCTGCCATTGCCATTATCTTGGATGGGTTGCAAGTTGGCACTTTCTGTGTATTGAAAAGTAGGAAAAGAGGGAAATTCAGTTTGGTTCACATTTTTATTTGAACCTACCTTCATTCACACTTCTTGAAACAACGTGCACATCAAAATTTTGAAAATCACAGTTGCCAGATTTTGTACCCAAACTGCATATATTAGGAGGAAGTGTGCATAAAATGCAGACAGAGTGAAAATAAAATAGAAATAAAGTATTATACAAAGGGAAATTACTTGCAAAAATGTGTACATTGTGGGAAATTGTCTACAAAAATGTGATTATTAAGAGAAAGGGCATGTGAAGAAAGGGGAAGAGCAAGGAGAGCCTGCTTGCACTAACTGCCTTGCGCAACCACCTTGCAAGGTGGGCCAGTCATGTCCCAAACTATTCAGTACTTGGTGCTCCGCTTCATGGATCACTGCCTTGCCGTGGCGAAGGGGCTTGAATAACTCAGAGAAGCTATGAACTATGCCGAGCAGGGCACCCAAGATGGACAGGTCATAGTGGAGAGTTTTGACCAAACGTGATCCACCTGGAGGAGGAACCGGCAAGCCACTCCAGTATCCCTGCCAAGAAAACTCTATGGACAAAGACAACAGGCATATAAAAGTTATGATGCTGGAAGATGAGCCCCTCAGGTTGGAAGGCGTCCAACATGCTACTGAGGAAGAGCGGAGGACAAGTACAAGTAGATTCAGAGCTGATGAAGTGGCTGGGCCAAAGCCGAAAGGATGCTCAGTTGCGGATATGCCTGGAAGCGAAAGGAAAGTCCAATGCTGTAAAGAAAAATATTTCATAGGAACCTGGAATGTAAGAACCATGAACATTGGCAAGTTTGATTTGGTCAAAAATGAGATGGCAAGAATAAATATTGACATCCTGGGCATCAGTGAACTAAAATGGACAGGAATGGGCGAATTCAGTTCGGATGACCATCATATCTACTACTGTGGGCAAGAATCCCATAAAAGAAAAGGAGTGGCCCTCATAGTTAACAAAAGAGTGGCGAGAGCTGTACTGGGATGCAATCTCAAAAATGATAGAATGATCTCCATACGAATCAAAGGCAGGCCTTTTAACATCACAGTAATCCAAGTTTATGCACCAACCACAGGTGCTGAAGAAACTGAAATTGACCACTTCTATGAAGACTTACAACACCTTATAGAATTGACACCAAAGAAGGATGTTCTTCTCATTATAGGAGATAGTAATGCTACAGTAGGGAGTCAAGAGATAAAAGGAACAACTGGCAAGTTTGGCCTTGGAGTTCAAAACGAAGCAGGGCAAAGGCTAATAGAGTTCTGCCAAGAGAACAAGCTGGTCATCACAAACACTCTTTTCCAACCACAGAAGAGACGACTCTACACATGGACATCACCAGATGGGCAGCATCGAAATCAGATTGATTATATTCTCTGCAGCCAAAGATGGAGAAGCTCTATACAGTCAGCAAAAACAAGACCTGGAGCGGACTGTGGCTCAGATCATCAGCTTCTTATAGCAAAATTCAAGCTTAAACTGAAGAAAGTAGGAAAAACCACTGGGCCGGTAAGATACAATCTAAATCAAATCCCTTATGAATACACAGTGGAAGTGAGGAACAGGTTTAAGGATTTAGACTTGGTGGACAGAGTGCCTGAAGAACTATGGATGGAGGCTCGTAAATTATACAGAAGGCAGCAACGAAAACCATCCCAATGAAAAGGAAATGCAAGAAAGCAAAGTGGCTGTCCAATGAAGCCTTACAAATAGCGGGGGAGAGAAGGCAAGCAAAATGTGAGGGAGATAGTGAAAGATACAGGAAATTGAATGCAATTTCCAAAAAAATAGCAAGGAGAGACAAGAAGGCCTTCTTAAACAAGCAATGCAAAGAAATAGAGGAAAACAACAGAATAGGAAGAACCAGAGACCTGTTCAAGAAAATTGGAAATATGAAAGGAACATTTCGTACAAAGATTACCATAATAAAAGACAAAAGTGGAAAGGACCTAACAGAAGCAGAAGACATCAAGAAGAGGTGGCAAGAATACACAGAGGAATTATACCAGAAAGATATGGATGTCTCGTACACCCCAGGTAGTGTGGTTGCTGACCTTGAGCCAGACATCCTGGAAAGTGAAGTCAAATGGGCCTAAGAAAGCACTGCTAATAACAAGGCCAGTGGAAGTGATGATATTCCAGCTGAACTAATTAAAATTTTAAACAATGATGCTGTTAAGCTGCTACACTCAGTATGTCAGTGTCAGGGAACTGCCATCAGAGACAAGAGGAGAGGTAAGGCTCCCCAATGAGGCAGGGGAGGGAACTAGCAAGGAGAGAGAGAGCTTCTGCTGGGGAAGGGAATCAATGTGACACCAGGAAGAAGGGGAGGCTGAGAGTACTTCGGAGGGAAGGCTCCGAGACTATTCCAGTGAGATCAGTGGGGAGAGCACAGGACCTCCGCTTGGCACGCCCACGCTGCGCAGAAAGCTTCCGCGCAGAGAATCGAGGAGGAGACTTTGGAGTCAAGGAATTCTTATGTTGGAAGAAGTTTAGGAAACGCCCACTGACAGATTCTGCCAGTGACTGAGACAGTCGCGTTGTAAGGGCTGTCAAACCAGGGAAAGGTTTAGCTATACAACCAGCTTGGAGCAGTTTGGAATTTACGCACAAGCAACCCCAATTCCCATTACAGCAATCCGTCAGTCCTCTAAGTTGCTTGTGCGCAGAGCAGCAGGGGCAGCATCATGAGTCAAACCGGAGGAGCAGGCGCCGGAGAGGGGGCCAGGGGAGGATCAACTCTGGAGGAGAGAAACAGAGATTTGGAGCAGCAACTGGCCCTACTAGCGGCGCGGCTGGATGAAAGGCGGACTCAGGATGCCCAGGGGAAGCCCACCCCCATCGCAAGGAAGGTACCAGGACTAGTGCAGAAGTTTGGGGGCAATCCCAGAGATTATAACGAATTTAAGACAGAAGTGCAGTACGCGCTGGACCTGCAGTATGATGACTTTGTAGACGATGGGGGGAGGGTCGCTTTTGTGGTAGGGCATCTGGAAGGGGGTGCCAGAGATTGGATCAGACCCTTAATGGCACCGGAGAATGCTGCCTTGAAGGATTTGAGAAAAAATTTTAGCGCCATGGACCATATGTTCTCGAGTGATGTGGAGCAGAGCGTGACGCGCAAAGAACTGATGGGGTGCAAACAAGGGAACCAATCAGTGAGAGAGTACTGGTCGCGATTTGCAATGTTTATCCACAAACTTGGTTGGGAACTGGGTTCAGAACCAGTGCAAATGTTATTTGAGGAAGGCTTATCCCCTTGGGTAAAAGATGAACTTTCCCGCTCGCCCCGCCCGGAATCGATGGACCAGCTGACCAAAATGGCGCTTGCTGTGGGAGTACGCCAAGAAGCGCGCGCTCTAGAAAGGCGGGAAGGGAGAGCAGAGCGTTGGCATGACAACCGCATTCCGGACGTGCCGGAGCAATCTGCGCCGCCCGCGGAACCAATGGAGATTGGAGGAGTGCGCGCGCGCGGGGTTTCAAACTCCAGCGAGGTTCGCAAGAAGGAGGGGGAAACAACTAAGAAGTGTTTTCTCTGCCAGCAGCTGGGACATTTTGCCAGAGTCTGCCCTCAGAAAAAGGCGTGGCAAGGAATGGTGGGGGCAGCTGGGGGTGAGGAGGAGAGAGATAAGGAGCAGGGAAACGGCAATGCTTGGCTGCAGGAGAGCGGGCACAGCAGCCAGGCGAGCAACCAGTAAAAGTGCCCAAACCAGACCCTCCCCGAGCAGCCATAGCCATAGAGGTGGTACTAGAACTCCCTAACGGACACCCAATTAAGGTGAAGGCATTGCTGGATTCAGGCAGCTCTTGCAACTTCTTTAGCAGGGATTTTGCACTAGAACACCAGCTCCACGTGGTGCCTCTAGAACACCCCTTGCAAGTAACGACCATTGATGGGAGAGAACTCCTGGGGGGGGAAGTGACCCACCAGACCCCTCCCATGAAAATGAGGGTCTCCAGACACACTGAGACTATTGCCTTTCACGTTGCCACACTAGCAGGACCACCAATCATACTGGGAATGAGTTGGCTGGCACTGCACGATCCAGTAGTGGGATGGCACCAGCGAACAGTCTCCTTTGGGTCAGCTTACTGCATGGAGCACTGCCACGGGGGGAAACCCCGAGAATGGCAGTAGCCAGGGTGGCAGGGATGGCGGTAGGAGAAAAGGGGAGAGTACCACCTCAGTACGCAGACCTGGAAGAAGTCTTCAGTGAGAAGGAGGCGGATAGACTACCCCCTCACAGGCCCTTTGACTGTCAGATCAACCTACTCCCAGGGGCTCAGCTGCCAGTGGGTAAGCTGTACGCCATGTCGGACAGGGAGATGCAGGAGTTGCAGAAGTTTATTGACAAGAACCTGAAGAGGGGTTTCATACGAGAATCAAGGGCGGTGGGGGGCAGCCCAGTGTTCTTTGTGGACAAGAGAGACTCTAAAGAGCCTAGATTGGTCGTAGCTTACAGGGGGTTAAACCTTGTGTCGGAACCAGTAACCTTCCCAATGCCCAGAATTGATGACATTTTGGCCAGGGTAAGGAAAGGGAAGGTCTTTACCAAGCTCGATCTTCGGGGGGCGTACAATTTGATAAGGATGAGGGAGGGGGATGAATGGAAAACCACCATGTTCACCCCTCTGGGGGCCTTTGAGTATTTAGTTATGCCCTTCGGATTACAATCAGGCTCGAGCTGCTTTCAATCTTTCATGCACCACGTGCTGGGGTCCCTGCTGTACAAGAATTGCGTGGCTTTCCTAGACGACGTGCTAATCTACTTGGAGAACGAGGAGCAGCATGTTAAGGATGTCAGGGAAGTGCTGAAAAGGCTGCAGGAGCACCAGCTGTGGGTCAAACTGGAGAAATGCCAATTCCACGCCCGAGAAGTTGAGTTCCTGGGGTACAGGTTGTCGGACAAAGGCTTAGCCATGGACCCAGGCAAGGTGCAGGCGGTGCTAGAATGGAAGACTCCCAAG